GACGAACCCTAAGGCGTTTCGAAAATTTCATTTTCACGATTTTAAATCAAAGCTAATAACTTTAATTATATTGTATGACTAAAATGAAGGGTTCATTCTGTTTTTTTTTCAAATCCTATACAATTTAATTTTCTCATTAATGTTTATTTTAAAATCGAATTTTTGAAATTATTTTTTTTTTATTTTTATTTTTTTAAATGTATATACATTTCTACCACCTTGCTAACCTGCTACCTTGCCCCCTGCTCTAACCTTGCTCCTATATACCAAGTATAGCAATTTTTCTGAAAATTTTACTTATTCGGTACTTTAAGGTGGTTATTTTTAATTTTCCATGGCGTTTTCATGAGAAAATTTACGAAAAAAATGTTTTTATTATATTAAAATTAATGTTTTTGTTGTAGTTCAGTACAAAATAAAGTTCGTTTTAACTTGAAATTTAAACATAAAGCTTATATTTTTCTTTTCTAGATATGTTGATAATTTTTTAAAATTTAATCGATTTTCAGCTATTTATAGACAATTTATTTTTATTTTGCGACTTTTTACATAATTGGTATTCGGTTGATACCATGTAAATAAAATTGTTAGATAAAATAGAAAGGCTTGACAATTTAACAGAATTTCTTTCCGTACGAATTTGAATATAAAATTTTGATTGAAACCGTAAATATAACGGCCTTCCTTTTAACATATTTACCCGACCTCCGCTCAGAATCATCGTGTACAGATACACAATAAATTCCACTCAATATCCTACCTTCCCAACGTCTGACCTACAAAGTTGGCTTATCGAACATGCGAAGTACGTCCGTCATTGTGTTATTATTTAGCGAAATTAGGATTTATTTTTTACTATTATTAATCGTTTTCCACATAGAGAAATTACTCTATGTATTATAATTACCATTAAAAAAGCATAATTATAACAATATAGTTCAATAATCCTTTGTCGGTAATCAAAAATAAGTTAGGGCGAATAATGAAATGTTTATTGAATATTTAATTTTTTTTTTTTTCTGTTATTTTTTTATTATACTGCTAATCTATAGTAAATATTATCAATGGTTGAAAAATAAAACATTGAGTTATTCGGAGTATCCAGGTTGGTGTACAAGTAATATACATATTATATTTCAGGTGTCCAAATATATCAAAATTCAACGGAAGTCTATTATTAAACAGCTACCAAATAATTTGATTTTTTGTAATGCTGAAAATGATATCGAGAACAGTATTAGTAAAATATTATTATTGCGTAGTTAAAATCATATTATGTTTAATATGTTATTTTAAACGGCGCATTGTGTACGCTTAAAAGCTACATCCGCGTCTATAATTCATTAGAGACGTAATACTTTTTTTTTATTAAGGAGCAAAACATTAAAATTGCTGTGCGATAATTATTATTGCATGTGGTTATACTCCGGTTGCAGGCGGTCACGTCCCTTGAGTATCTTTATAATTTAATGTCTTTTTTTTTTATATAAATATAATAAATTCAAATTTAACCACTGAATATAATTATCTTTATCCATTGTATATAATCCATACCCATTGTATATGGCGAGAATTTTTTTTTTTTTTCAGAAATTTTACTAGTGGGTAAGTTTGATAATCGATGTTGTCAATTTCTCGAGTTGGGGGGATTTCTTGAATTTCCATGTAATTGTCTAAATAAACGATAAAAATCAAATAAGTTGAACTGGGTAACATTAACACTGTAATAATTTTTATTTATAATTTAACCGTAATAATCACATTATTTCGATTATTTTTATTTGATTGATGTAAGTACACATTTTTTGTCTCGGCAGAATTGCTCAAAAATTTGAAATATTATTCACCATAACAATTTTTATTGAATAATGTTTGAAATTAGACTTTTTTTTTTTAAAATATTAACAAAAGTACCAACTGTGTATGTATTAACCATTGAGAATGATTGTGCAGATGTAAATCTAGTCAATTTATATTTATCATATCTTCCCAACTCGTCACCAACGAGTATAACAGTGGAATATGGAAAATAATGGCATATAGTTGTACACAGACAAAAATAATGTACACAATCATTGCTTAACCTATCAATCCCTTACTGCATACACAATCTAAAAAAAAAAAAACGAGCATTTTATACATTTACACGCCTCTCTTTTCAGAAATTAATTAGATTCTTGTTTTTCAAATGTATTATTATAATTATAATGTCCATCAAACAATTATTTTAACGATAAGAAAACTTTTTAAATATCTTGTTAGTACTAACTATTATAATTATATGTAGTACTTAAGTGAGAAACCATTGTCATCGTTGTTTAACCCTAGTATATAATCTATTTCGCAACTTTGGCAAACTCATATTAGAAAACGTCTAATGGGGACCAGTCGCGAGTCCTTTAAATATTATTATTATACTTACCTAGTCTAGTCTAGTTATTGTTGGTACTTAATAGAAGTTGTTTGCCGTCATAGTATATAACAAGCAACAAAGTTTAATGTGATTATAAATTAAACTTCATCACACACAATAATATAATACGTATAGTATATTATTCGATTCGTTTAATTTAAAACCTCATCTCAACCGGCGTGATTCTCATTCTAAAAGGAATGATATTTGTTTGGTTTATGTTTTAATTAATTTTTTTTTATTATTATTATTATACGTATTATCAAGGTCACCCATCATTAATCGAACATAAGAAGATTTGTGTACCAAAACTATCAATATCCCTATAAAAACCCTCCTTCTCCTTCCAAAGTTTAATTTTTTGAAGGGAAAATAGTTTACATGATATCTCGTGCCCAGAACTACACGTGAAGTGTTAGTTCAGTATTGGTTCGGCAGTTTTAGAGTGACGGAGTTACAAACAAATATCTATCCAAACAAAAATTCGAATTTATAACATAAATAGGATATTTATTATACTTCATATCCGTGCTTATAATACTTGACAGGATGCTACACCCGCATTTTACCGAATCCGTCTAGACAACAATTAACTGACCCAATGAACCGGATTTCGCTAATATTTTGGTAAAGGTATTATACTAAAAATTATAAATTCGGAAATAAATTAGAGAACGGAAAACCTGTGTTCATTGACAGGGGACACGACAAAATAACAGTATGCGTAAAACGTAAAGTGTGGCGGTTAGGCTGAAATTAGTGTTTTAACACAGAGCACACAATTTAAAGAAAATAACATGTTCGAGAACAATACGTTTATGTCTTTCAAACATATTTCGAAACGATAAAGTTATAACAATTGAAATCAAATGTGGAAACTATCGCGAATATAATTTAAACTATTACATCACGAAAACAAAATCCTCATTGTAATTTTTTTGTTTGGAAATATTTTTGAAAATCGGAAACTCAATGCCCTCGAACATTTATTTTCTTTAGATCGTAGATTCGACATCTAACTTATTTCAACATTGACGCCACTTAACAAAGCTTTTCAACAGAATTACTATTGCGGTTTCGCTATATCACCCGTCGTTTAGACCGGAGTAGTCAATGCAGATGTGACGTACTCTTAAAATTGTACTTTCCAATCTTTATAGTATTTAACGATCATTACAAAAATATTAGCGAAATTCGTTTCACTCAATCATTTGCGATATTTGTGCAATGATAAAAACACAATATACAGACCTGATGAGCGAAATAATGCGTTTAACGAAATCGTTTAATTCGGTACGATCCCTGTAGGTACGTATAGATTATACGACGGATTTGTTACGTATCTTGACATTTATTATTATATCCAAGCTCACTCAAATATTAAAACGTCGATCGTCGTTTTTATTTTATTTTTTTTTTTCGTAATTTTTAGCCAGGAAAATCGTCAATTGAAGTATTTAGTTTGTATTTTACAACTCCCGCGATGCTACTAAATCCACACGCCTATACACACACACACACACACACACACACACACACATACACACACATGTACGCTGACGGGTATTTTACCCACTCCCGTGTGTCTACCCGACTTTGTAAAACGTTAATCCGTGATGTAAAGATATGTTCGTTGTTGTTGCGTTTTCGTTTGGAAATTTCCCCGAAAAAAAAAAACGCAAAAAATCCAAGCGAAATTTCCCCCGGGGACTTTTCGACGAAAACGGTCGTCGGTGTTATTATTGTAATTCATAACGATAATAATTATTGTACGCACGCGCGTAGCATATACACTCGTTCCCGTTCGAATTAAAATAATTTTTTTTTTTTTGTAAAACCGCGTTATCTGTACGCTATATGAAACGGGCGTAAACAGTGCCGTGATCTGTTTTTTGATCAATGTGAAAAAAAGAAAAAAAAAAACGAAAAACCCGCTACGAATAAAACTCGTTATTCACACACGATTCATACTCGTACGATACGACAGGACACGACAAAAATCACGCTGGATTTACACACGACCGACAAGAAACGACAGACGTCTGACACGCGCTCAGTTGATTTCGATTTTCGTTACGAAATTTGAAAAATTTGTAGATTTTTTAGGCATTATTGCTCGACGATGACGAAGAGGACAATAGTGACAGCGTTGTAATCAATAAAGAACGATCTACATGGGTTCAAGATATTGAAAAGAAAAAAAGGACGTACATAATTCGCACGTGGCCTCTGTTGTGTGTGGGAAGTTGGGAAGGTAGGATTTAAATGGGAATTTAATGTATATCTGTAAACAGCAATAGACCATTGCTACTGAAAAAATCGATTTTGAGCGGAAGTTAGTTGATAGTGTTGCTTTATCAACAATACACATGTCATGTTATGTTAAAATGATTACGACAATGTGAGTTTCAATGAGAACAATGATTAATTTAAAAAAATTAAAATTTTAAAAAATTAATATAATATCAAAAAATAAATATAAACGGTTGCCAATGACAACCTCATTTTTAATCTTTCAAGCTTGTCAAACCCAAAGAACTGGGCTTTTCTCGTTATCTCGAATATGAATAGAAATTTCGAAAAAATGCCTCTTTACAGTACAACCCGGAGAACATTTGGTTTCGGAAAAGTCGCTATACTTGATAATTGGAGTAAACATAGTAATAAACGTCTTTGTATAGCCAATAGATTCTTCGCTGAACTCTGAGTGTAAAAAAAACACGAAGCTGATGAAGAACGTGTTACTTTACGTGAGACATCGGTGGACCAGGAAGAAAAATGTCTCGAATATTCTCGGATCGATTACAACGGGTACGGGGGCAAATATTTTGCGATCCGACACGACACGGACAGGCTTCGTCCACGCGGCACGTCTATAATATTTTAAACGGATCGATACCGACGGTCGCGGACGGACCGGCGAAACGTCCATTGCCCCGAACGGACCGTCGTGTCGTGTGGTCGCGGAGCCCGCCGGACCGGCGCGCACCGCTCGAAACGGTTCGATTTTATCGGCGGAATATTTTCGCGCGCGCCGTTCCGTGTCGTCGCCGGGTGGCTCGGGGCCGCGGGGCCCGTGGATTGACAAACGCGGGGGCCGGCCGTCGTCCCCCGGACGGAACGGCGCGCGTCGCGCCGGGTCGACCCGAAACGCAACGGATCCGCGTGCGACGATTCTCGACGATGTTACGCGGCATAATGAAGAGTAAAAAAAAAAAAAAAAAAAAAAAAAACTAAATTAAACGCGGCCGTTCGAATAAATACGTATTATCGTCGATATCGTTATTATTGTTACGGTACGCGCGCGATGCCATGGCGTACGCGACGGCGGAGACACACGCTGAGTTTCGGCACCGGCGAACGCCACAAACGCCGCGCACACCGTGCGTTATTGTTGTACGATAAATATTGTACGCGGTTACGTGCGCGCGTTCGAGTTAAATTATTCGCGCGCGCTTGTGGGTTTTCGTCGGTTGGTTTTTTTTTTTTTTTTTTATCGTTACTCCGAACGAGATTAAAACTGTTTAATTGAAACGAAAATAGATTAAAAGACAAAACGCGAAAAAAAAAAAAAAAAAATAATAATAATAATAAAAAAAACATTATAATAATAACGTTCTTCTGTGTGGATCCGAAACGCGTCCGCGTACCGTATTGCTACGTGCGCGCGCCCGTGATAAATGGTTTATTACTTATTCCGTTATATTTTCCCGCAATAATAATTGCAGTTATTTTATTGCAAAAAGGTTTTTAGTTTTTTTTTTTTTTTTTTTTTTTTTTTTCGGGCCGATTATTATTATTATAGTATTTCCTAATATACAACAATATTCTCGCGCGGCAACGACGGTGCGATTTTTTTACGTTTTTTATCGTATTATATTCCATTTCCGCGCTTTATTGGACCGTTCCCAAAAACTCCCGTAGTAATATTATTATTTATCGAAACGCGTACCAATATTCAGGTATGCCTAGAGGTCCCTGTGTTATATCATTATTGTGTGTATGTGTATACGTTTTCACTTTTAGACGTTTTCAAAACGTATTGAATAAAAATTATCATAATTCGATGGTATTCGCGGACGGCGACAAAATCCCCGTCCGCGTGCCTATATTATTATTATTATTATTTTTCTTTTTTATTATAAATATCATCGATGCATCCATTATTTATAATACGTCGGGAATATCATACGCGTACGGATTTTCGTATCAAACAAAAAAAACAATGTCCTAGAATAATGGGAATGGGTTCGGCCACCGTTGTCGGTGAGAAATTTGGAAGGTAGGATATAGACGGGGAAATTATTTGATTAACACGCTTCTGAGCGGAGTTCGGTTGATAGCGATGCTGTGTCGACAGTATGTAACGTGTTATAATATAGAAAAATAATTAAATGGGCATTGTATTTTCTTTGGTCCGTGCCGTGTTTTTTCTACGATTTTTCCGGTTTTCTTGTGATTTTTTCCCGGTTTTTCACATTTGCTTGGAAAATCGAAAAACTACCTCTCTGAAGTGCCTTCCCGGTGAGAATTTTTTCTTAGAAAACATGTTATCATTGTAAATCGGACCCCCAAATTTCTGGCAGAAAATTTGTCCACGGAACAAAGAAAAAAAAAAGAAAAAAACGTAATATTATACTAATATATTTCATAATAAAATAATAAATAAAAACAAAATTATTAAATTATATGAACAAATAAATGAATGCGTCGCCTGAAGTATTGTGATATGTGTATTATATGACCGGTTTCGAATTAAAAATTTATCGTGAGGTAAAACCACAAAGTCTATAAGTAATATGCGGCTGAATATGAATAAATAATATAATAACACATCTAATACAACTGATATTAAATAATCGCTCCTATTAAAATAAATTATTTCTATGTAAAACAACCAATTTTAAAATTGATTAGATTCTGAGGTTAGCGAAGCCTAGCTAAATAGGTTTTACGGAATCGCTTATTTTTTTTTTTTTTATGTAAACACATTTTCTATGTTTTCTAGGTTGTATTCGGAGAGGTCATTTTTTTTGAAATTCTCATTAATATTCGAGAAAACGAGGAAAACCTGGTTCTTTGGGTTAAAAAAAGATTGAATAATTAAAAATAATGTTGCCATTGGCACGCGTTTTTATTTATTTTTTGATGTAATTAAGTTTTTATTATTTTTTAAACAATCATTGGCTTCACGGAAACGTACATTGTTATAATCATTTTACCATAACATGACATACATATATTGTTGACAATGCAACACTATCAACTGAACTTCGCTCAGAATCGGCTTTTCGTAAGCAATGGTTTATCGATGTTTACGGATCTACATTAAATTCCCGTCTGTATCCTACCTTCCCAACTTCCTACCATCAACAACGATTGTACCAACGTGAGAAGTATGTCCGTCCTTTTTTTTCTCCGTGTATTCGTTCATTCGTTTTTTTCATATTCGGTTTCGTTTTTACTTTTTGACTTTGTGATTTTACCTGACGATGAATTTTCAATTCGAGACCAGTTGTACAATACTCATATCATAATAATTCAAGCAACGCATTCATTTATTTTGTTGTATATATTTAATATATTTCTTATATTTTTCCCGTTTTCGTCCGTTTGTTTTCGGGTTTCTTTACATTTGACGAGAAAACTCTTGGGAAAATCTAAATATTACTTTATTTACTACATTCCCGGTCCGATTTTCTTTCAAAATAATATTTCTATTATTTTAAATTGGAGATAAATTGCTGATAGAAAAGTTGTTCACGTGAAAAAAAAATCGGACTAATATTTAACGAATATATTTCATACATTTTTCCGAATTTCCTCGGTATTTCTTTTTTAAAGCGAATATTATGGCGGGAAATCAAAAATCCAACCTCCCCGATTTACCGCGCCAAGAAAATCGCCTTTCAGAAAAGGCGCTGCATCGTATACATTGGAATAAGTTTTCCGGTATCAAAAGTGTTCACATAAAAAAGGAAAAAGTTAAAAAAAAAAACAACAAATATCATACGTTATTAAATATGTACGGGGGGCCGGATGCGTAATATGGTATTACGCGCAACCCGGACCCCTAGCTATAACTGTCGAACAAGGGTGTAGCAGAAATAAATGGTAGTTCGGTGGCCGGTAACATGCGGTGCGATTGATAATAGCGCGAAACACAATTAGTTACGAATATGATCGAATAAAACCGCGGCGATAAGCGCGCGCGTACACGGAAATAACGTTTGGCGATTACGGTTCGCTTAATTTACCGATAACGGTGGGCAACGACAATAATAAAAAAATAATATTAAAATAAATGTCGGCTAGTCACGAATTACGAACGCAGCAGCAGATGACCGATGGTCAGTACCGCTCAACGTAATCTGAAAACAAAAAAACCGGATATATGACGGCGATTTGTCGCCAATAACGCGGAGTAAAAAAAACGCCCGAAACACTATCGGTTTTTCCGCGCGAAACCTAACGGAAAACGATAAAACCAATAGAGCCAAACCGAACAAGCGCGTGACGAAAATCGAATCGGACGCGCGTTCGCGACGTGGTTTCGCGAGCTGTTTCGGCGGCGCTGCACGCGCGCAGTCGACGAGACGACCGTAACCGAATGCGGAATTCCGAAACGGACGAGCGAAACAACGAACGACGCGGAACGGTTGTCGCGCGAGTGGCGCCGACAATAATACAACACGCGCGTAAACGAATACGACGGGTACCGCGGGCGGCGAGGCGTTCGGCGACCGGTGTCGTCGGGCAACGCTATCCGGCGAACTTTATTCAAATTTCTAATCGCCACGGCCGTTTCGGTCGCCCGCCCGTTGGTTTTACGTTCGACGAAAAACGCACAAATAATTATACGTATAAATATCGGACAACCGACACGTCCGTCGGTCCGTTCGGAATCCGAAAACCCACGACCGCGTACGAATGCGTATTCGATCGGATGGCATTAGGTTTTGTTAGCGTTTTTTCACCGTTGGACCAAAGTGGAAATTACCGAAAATCAGTGCACCCGCGCGACACGTGCCGAACAAACTGGGTTTTTGGCAGTTTCGACGTCTACGTAAATGTTTTAACGTCGATTCGCCCCGGCGGTACCGTGTGCGTATTTTTTGCACGGTCCGCGCAAATATCCAAACGGAATCGTGATGTCCACGGCGAAACGGCGCGAAGTGTATAAGCGACTCGCGATTCGTAGATTTCGGGAGAGCCGAAATACGTTTATTTGTGATTTTAATCGCAAATTTAATGTTTACCGTTTACACTCCGAACTTGAAATTGAAATTATTCGTCACATCGATATTTTAGTATACGGACGATTATTTTTTTCATTTTTTTTTTTTTTATTTTAAATTTCCAGTCGATCCTTATACTACAATAAAAACATAACACACAAGATTTCTTTATGTACATGTATTTTACAAGACAAATTTATTTGAAAAATAAAATTATACACTAAAACGGTGTTTCTCCGATGCTTCCTAATTATAACTGTTTTAGATTCCTAGCGTAGCGAGGGAGCTATTGGTTTTAATAAGATATTTATTTTTATCTTTCTTCTGGCTTGTGGACGCTATTTTCTTTAGTAAACTTGTTACAATTTTTACGTGTAGCGACTATTCTGAAAGCTCAAGTTGTCTCAATGGTACAATGGAAAGGTCTTTTTTTCGATTTTCGACGCCCATTTTTTAAATAAAAGCACTTAAGTGGGGAAAAAACCTGGGAAAACATATAATTTCACGATTTTATTATTTTATAAAAACATGGACAATGTTTTCTACCAGAAAAAATGATATAATTAAAAAATCACAAGTTATCTTTTTTGATGTCTTTTTGATTTACTTTCTAAACGGTATCTTCGTCAAAACTTTTGAGCTTTTAAGAAATTTTAATTTTTAGGAGATTTTTTTTTGCAATTCGGTTTTTTTTTTATTTCACCCGTGACACCAATTTGACCCAAAAATCAATCAGAATATTTCGACTTCGTTACCGAAATTACCTTTGAACGGACAGCGTAGTAGTTTAATTTCGGAAATCCGGATTTGAAGTGCACGCACAGAGTCGTGTAATCCCATATGAAAATTGCCAGACCTTTGAGTACTGTACATTTAGCCGCGAATCGCATACCGACAAACATACAAACATAACATTTTGTTAATATGATATAGAAGATGAATTTTAGGACCAGATAGTCTTTTTCTTGTAGATGCACGGTGATCCGTGCTGATTCGAGTGCTCGACCTCCTCTCAGAATTTTCAATGTCATTATTTTTAACTAGAAGTGGAATAAAAAATCGAAATAAATTACGACGATATATTATAATATTTTAAAACTCAACAAAATTATAATAAATATGAGAATTATTGCAATTTATTGCGTATAAAATTATAATGAATTTTTTTCCCTCTATTTTTTTATTATTTTTAGTTGAGTATATTATATATTTTTTTTTTTTTTTTGTGAGTAGGTATATCTTTATTAGGTACACTAGTACTGCACGTGTGCGCAAAATTATTAAAACTTCAGCGATAACAAGATTTTTTTTATATAAAGTTTAGTACCTTTAATATGTTACGAGCGGTCTTTAAAAATTGTAAGTTTTGCTTTTTTCCAATAAAAAAATATTTTGCAAAAAAAAAAAAAATGTTCAATTATTTGGTGATTTGTTTCATTGTTGGCCGTCCGAATTAGGATAAAATAAATTCGAAATTGAATTAATCCGCAATAGATAAGGAAATCTATTTATTTGATTACAATATAATATCCGTTGTTCATTTTAATTTTAAATTGTAAATGTGTTATTTAATTTTAGTTTGGAGAGTATTCGAATAATAATATTATAATATTTTTGACGTTGAAAAAAGTTATATCCCATTCAAAAACCATCGTGTAATATATTTTCAATAATTCCAGGATTATGCTAAAATATTAATAATATATTTTTAATACGCATAACTATTATAATGAAAACTTAATAAAACAGAATTTCGCCTTGACAAAAAATACCAAGTGTATTTTCATTGTTTGCTGTGGTGAATGAAGAATTTGTTTCGTGTACAAGAAAAAGAAAATTTGCCGCAACTTCAAAAACACAAGTATTTAAATTTTTGTAATAAAAGAATAAGCATAAAAAATAATATATTATTAATTGAATCATAATGGTCGAATTTTTTCACGAAGATAGGACTATAAAAACTACATTGCGTACCTCGATTATTTAGTTTTAGAACATTTTATGTGGCTTAACTGGATCAAATTGAGTTGTTTACATGAAGTGTTTTGTAGGCGGATTAAAGCGAAAAAAGTCGAGTTGAGCGTTAGTATCAATTTTACCGTGTTCTCGGGAAAGGAAAGTGTTTTTTTTTCCAGATTTGAATACTCCTACGAAACCTTAATTGATACCAGAGAAATGGAATTTTGTAGTGCCGAGCGTTATTATTTATGATGTATTTTTTATATGGGTCCCGAATTTCAACTACTATTCCTAGCCTATTCATACTCAAATTTAAACATTGTTTTATTATTATTATTATTTTTTTTTTTTTGGAAGTTTATAGTAAATTTTTATTATGGAATTTTATTATTATTTTAGTAATCGGGTTTTTATTGTTTAACGAAGAATAATTAGATACACGTAATAAAAAAAAAAAAAATTGGAAGGAAACGTGCAATATAAATTAAAATTTATATAAAAATGTATTGTTACATGAAAATAAAGATCAGGTTTTCAAGTAGGAAATACTAACTAACATATCAACTTTAAGATAATCATTTTCGTGCGAATAGGGTTTTCCATAAATATGGAAAATTAAATTGTAACTTGTGATTTTAGGGTTCAAGTGTGTTTGAGACAAAGCAATTTTTTCTGTTATTAAAAGTAAGTTCAATACATTGGATCAACTAGGACGTTTCTTTTTCTTGTGTTTCGGGAGGGGGGGGGGGTTGGGAGTGATATGAATATCGATTAAAAAATATCAAGAAAAAATTATAATAAATAAAACCAGTATCACAATTTGATTAACATGTGACGATAACAATAAACGAACAAAATATATTGATAATGTGGCATGTTTCACACTTGATATTACGTATTTTGTATATGTATGACAGGGGAAATGGTTCGGGTTATAGACTTCTTTGGTGTTTGATGTATTACCCGTATCGCCCCCCTGAGACGCCACCGGTACAACGTTATCTTGTGTGTTCACTCACAGGCAGACATAATTTTCTATGAACGAACAATAGGACGATTACGTCATACGTTATAATCCTCTAAACGTTGACGGTTTGTCCGAATTTTCAGAAGAAGTTTATTAATCGTATATTCTCGATAAAACACCAGGTATCGAAAACTACTCCGATTGTCGTCTCGGGTGGGAGGGAATGGAAAAATAACAATAAAAACGTTAAACATACAAAACGTACATTTTCTCTCGTTTTTTTTTTTTTTTTTTACGAGTAGCAAGTTTGACGCCTTTTAGAGTTCGGCCGCTCTAATCACCCGCTTTTTCTGCTCATTTACAGGCTAATGAAACGCTGGTTATTCGCGTTCGGTATAAATGAGTGTATTATTATTGTTTTTGCGGATAGACGATGCGTACCCCCTAACCGACAACTGTTATTGTACACGACGTTTTTATATCGTTTTTCATTATATTATCGGTAACTGTACCTACGAATAGCTACGGTATCGCGTAAAACAATGTAAATTATATACATATATAATTCGACTTTCCCGCCACCCTTCCCCGAACAAGAATAAAAGTTTTCGTTCGCGATATTTTTGAATTTATTACCCCTTTTTACAACGATGCAGAGGACGTTTTTATAAACGTTATAACATGCATATACCGTGGTTCCAAATTACGTTTATAGTTTACCGATGGGTATTTAACTATACAACACGCCCGTAGCACAGACCACCTGCTCCTGCACAGTTGAGCCTACGCTGCAAATTGTCAATGTATGTTGTTTTAGTATATGTGTAGTGTATATATTATATACCTACCAAATATCTGTGGCATGTTTTATTAATAGGATTCGTTCACATCGATTTTACGTCCCGTTTTTTTTTTTTTTTTTTTTTTTCGGGTTTTTTGTTTTGTTTTTGTTTTTTTCGCATCCTACAAAATGGTAAAGGAGAATATATTTTTGCCACAAAAAATGAAAATTAAAATTAAAATTTTGAAAACTTGAATATAATACAAAAGCGTGTAGGTAGGTATCACAATAGAAATATTATTATTACAGTGGTACAACGAATAATATTATCCGTATATATTATAAATAATTAATATTAATATTTCCGTGTTTTTTTAATTTTTTTTTAATTTATAGCAATCCCGTTAAGTCGTGACGTTTATTAGTTTTATAGTTAAAAGTAAAAATAAAAAACCAAATTATATACTAGTATTTAATCATTAGTGTACATCTATTAAATAGTACAGTACATATTCGGTTACGATCTAAAATAATGACATTTAAAATTGACTATTTCTTAGAGATACGTGTAATATATGATCATATTTAATAGTTTAATTTTAAATTGAAATTTTTGATGAATCATCATTGAAACACCATAAAATATACAATCCTAATAATATTATTACAATTTAATGCATTTAATGGCATAACTATTTGTAAATTACAAATAAATTTTTGTTTGTCTGTTTTTAGGTACTTATGCCATTTATAAATACGTGTATGGTAAAGATTCGTATATGACAATAAATATCTTTGAAATTTAATGTCGTTTGTGTTTCTAGAACAATTACCATTGACTTAGGTAACTTTACTACTAAAATAATATATTAACTTTCTTAAGTCCTTACAAACTTTGAAACATCGTGTGTTTTTCGGTCGGAAAAACGAAAGGAATATTTTGTAAAATATATACGTATACATGAGTACAAATATTACAAAGTCAATTGAAATGCTATACAAATACGATAAAAATTGTTTCTATATTTTTCGACGAAAAGAAAAAAAAACCAAAACGAAATAAATGGAATAAATAAAAAATAAATGCACCCGTTAAATTCAAATCAAGGCGGAAAATAATGTATACAACAGACAATCAATATTGTTGTGCACCTATGTTATTATTATTATTTACCGTACGGTTACTGACTATTATAAACATAAAACCCTCGACATCAATATACAACAAAAATAAACAAATGTAAGTATAACCAGTCATACAAATTATGTAAAGGTAGTCAACATAAAATAATAACGAACAAAAAAAATAATACAAAAAATAGAATGAGTAACTACAAATAATATCAAATTTAGGTATCCAATCTCTCTGGTCATTAGTTCTCTTATATTTACTTGGAATTTCCTTTTCGAGCAGTCCGTGAAGATGCGGTTAATTATTTGCTAAATCTCACCGCAGTCGCACTACGAGTTATCCTTCAGTTTCCGTCTGTACATAAATTGTCCTCGTCTATCAGAATCCCGTTATTAGACTGTTAACAGTAACCCAGTTCTGGCGTGGAAGAAAAAAAACCGAATCATGGGATTAGAGATAAGTTCACCATTTCTCCAATATAGTTACTATGTACCTTAACTAACAAAATTGTACTGCCGTAGCACTTGTTATTCTTACGCAAAAACTAACAACAGGAAAATTATCAATCTTTTTTTTTTTTCTTCTTAAAACGAATACGTATTATTGTCATTGTTATTATTACACGAAAATACGAAATTAATAATATTGCGGTACGGTCAGTTAATATGATTCAGCCATGATCTTATTACCAAATCGGACGGGCTATTATATCGAGTCAATTGAATGACTTTTTTTCTTTTTTTTTTTCTTACCGGAGCATGATGTCTGGTAAAAAACCCGTAAACGGACACTAAAACACACGGCCGGTGCGACCGACGTGCCGCGACCGGCAAGTCGGGGTATACAAATCAGTTTACTACGAAAACACGTTCATAAAAATGATTTCCCACGGCCGTTCGCATTATACAAACAACCGGAATACACGCAGGGACCACGCCGAGCTCGGAGCCGAAACGATTAATATCGAAGATCGATTTCGTTTTACGTTTTCACCTCGGTAACGCCTCGCTTCGCTTACGTGCCACGTGCCGTCGCGTAATAACGGCACAATAATCGACGGTCGCGCATCGAAATATCGATTACGCGGTGTTACGACTCCGTAAACTTTACACATTATAATATACCGCGTGCTATATTATTATAATTCGCGTACCCACCCCCCCCCCCCGCAGAAATTTGATCGGTCCGACTATACGCACGCAATAACACTATGGATGTATCGATATAATAACGTACACCGCGGTGTCGAGCGCGGTATCATCACATTATATTCGTATATATCACGACGGCGACGGCACTGCTCTTATCGCAGAGTCGGATCGTTTTCCGACCTAGAACTTAAATTTGCGCGCGTACAAATCCATATATGTGTGTGTGTGTGTGTGTGCGCGCGCGCGCGTGCGTATACGTTAGATTACCGATTGTGTACGCGACGGAGGTTAACGGTGGACGCGTTAAAATTACACCCGGCTAATGACCGTTGTGAAAATGCGTTGGAGACACGTAATCGTCCGCGCGTATAATACATGGGTCCGTCCCGATAACGCGGGGGCGGGGGATTTTCCGGCGTGCGCGTACGGGAACGACCCGCAGACGGCGCCGAACGCATTATCGCGCGCGCGCGCGCGCGTATTGCGTCACGTCGTTTTTTCGTCTTTTCCGAAACGAACGGAACCGCTTTCGCCGCGTTTCTCGCCGCGCTCCGTCGGCCGGGCGATCGAATCCAACAACGCGCCCGTTTCAACTCGTCGCGACCACCGTACGCACGCCGCGCGCGGTCGCGAACGGCTCGTCCCGCGCACGCGTGCCACAACGTATTTTTCGCATCGGTCGCGTTTACCGTCAACGCGTTGTCCCGCGCGCGCGTACCCGCGGGTCGATTTTTTTTTTCCCCGTTTCGTTCTCGTTTCGGAAACGAAATCGGATTTGTCTGTTACACGGGGTCGCTCGCGCCGCGGCGTTCGGACCGACGCGATCGCGACGCGCGGTCATCCGCGTCGTTTTCAAGCGGTTTTTCTGTTTTTCTTCTTCTAAAGAGTTAACGCGCCACGTTATGCATTCGTATTGTTATTATTATTATTTTTTTTTTTCTTTTCGTTTTAAACCGAGACACGACCGTTGACCGGAACTTTATTCTATCGCGCAATAACTGATATTTAATACCGCCGAATCGCCCACGAGCACGCCGACGGTCCCGTTATCGTTATGTCGGTGGTATTTGTTGCGACGCCGACAATTCGTATTTTCGTTTTCGATTTGAAATATAATAATCGTAGTTCAAGGCCCTGCTTACTAATCGATTAAATTTAAATTATCAAATGTTATCGCACGTGTTCCGTACAATTTAGTCAGATTACTACACATTCCCGTCGGACGACCTATACAATTCCTGCCAACCGCGACCACGTATTACATATAATACGATTTTATACCTAACCTAACCTAACTATTCAATTTCGGGTTTACGGTTTTTTTTTTCCTCCGCGTTGCACGTATATCTTTTCTCTTTACGTCTACCTATGACGGAACACGCATTATAGTTTTTTCTTTATTGCGTTAGATTGTTGTGTTTTCAATTAGTAATTTGCAAAGACCAGAGATCACAGTATAATATAGTTTTGATTATTATTTTTTTTTTCTTGTCACGTTTCCAGTATCTATGTTAATGTATAAAAAAGTGGCCCGAGATATTTTTTAAATAGTTAATATTCACTTCGGTATATAATGGGAGTGCTTTATGGTTTGTGTACGCTTTTAGCAGAGAAAGATTTCGAACGCCAATGCCGCCAAACCCGAACGTATGCGTTTTCGCAGTATTTGCATGTAGTTTGAACGGGCGTAGGTATACTGTATTCATCCGAACTTGGTTTCGTTATGATATTTTGTTCAATATTTCAGGACCCACGTTCAATGTAAACGGGTTTCAAAGAAAAAATTAATTATTTTGATGAAACTTCCGCTATTTTAACGTATCTTCATTCATTTTGAAAATTACTCAGTTTTGAGTTTTGTTTCAAATGTACATAATTATTTCAAAATACTAAATATTAGTGTGAAACTAACCATGTTTCAGTCATTATTCCCGATGAATTTTCGAGTAAAAATTGATTTTAGCCTAAGTATTCATAGTAAATAAATGTATAAATAAAACATTTATTTATAAAAATAAAATAATTTAATTATTACACTTTATTATTTTGTAATTTAAGTACACTTGTTTAAAATATTTTGAAAACGTTCTGTCGACTATTTACAAAACTTAGTAGGATGTTTAATGTACGAGTAATCTAAAAATATCCGAAACGTACTAATCTTGGATCTGAAGTTTTACGGATATCGAAATCAAAACTGTACATTATCGATTTTTAAGCGCTTTCTAATTTATTTGGTTTTTTCGCGTGTGCATTGGATTTCGAAATTCGTTTCGATTTGTATAGTTAATTATTTCAAATGCCTTTAAAAACCGGGAACCGTGCACGTTTGGAAAATGGACTTTCATCAATTTTGTTTATTCAATTTTACATTTTGATTGGAACGTAAAAGCATGTGGTTTCATAATGATTTTTTATTTTTTTTTATCAGTGAACAATTTTCTACCATCGATTTCGCTCCGATTTATAACGACAACCATTTTTCTGAGAAGAAATTTGACCGAGGATGTACTTTATTGTGATCATATTTTGATTTTCCAAAATTTTTTCCTAACAAATGGGAAAAACGTGACAACAGGTAGAATATTAAACAAATTGTATTAGAGAAAATGTTTAATGCGTATGCAATTATTTTACCATAATATGACATATGACAATATATTGTTATCAAAGCATTATTATGAACTTAAGTCCGTTCAAAATCGTCTTTTTATTGGCAATGGTTATAATCGTATGCTAGTAGATAAACATTAAATTACCTATTACAGTGGCTGCACCTGTCCCCGTTATATTAGGACAGATATATTTAAATTCTGGTTGTAAAACGAGTAATGTATTTATTGATATTTTGGCCTTTGATGTGTTTTTTTGTCAATGTAAACAAATTTAAATTTATTGGACCTTTCTTGGAATATTTATAATCGAGTTAGCGGATAAGGGATGCCTTTTTTTTTTTTTTTAATCTTTTTTTTTAATAAATGAAGCGGTCATAGCATGTTATGCAAATTTTTTTTCATATTTTTTAATGATTTCTGTGTAGCCGTGGCAATAAGAAAAAAAATACGACGAGCAATATACTGATTGGAAGAGTTTTTTGTAAACTTTAATTTATCGTTGTGCACAGGTATAAATTAAGTTACTCTATACAATTTTCGCCTACAACAAAAATCTTAAAACCTTTCCACCTACAACAGTGGCTGCACCCGTCTCCATTGTCCTAGAACGGCTTTTTTTTTTTCTTTTTTTGAATTGTATCGAGAATCCAATATCGGTGTTGTATCGCGTATCGAAACTAAAACCAATTCTAAATGGTCGGTATCGCCTGTCTCTACGTATTTAGTGTACGGCAGTAAGCAATACGCCGGCATCACAAAAAAATCGTTTCCCCTTCCCCACGGTAACACGCGTCGGCGGCGCGCGGATGTCTGTCGGAAATATTTATATCCGTATACTCGTGTTTTGCGTTTCGCAGACGAATGTAATGATGTTAACACCATCGACGGTTGTCGGCCGTGTCGCGCGCGCACAATTATTTAACGGACAATGGTATCCGTGTAATGACAATAATAAATCCGTCCTGTCATCGCACCAGCGTACACACAACTCCGCACTGGTTTTTTTTTTTTTTTTTATTATTCTCCGACCCCGTAAGGTTACAATCGTTACACATTACGAGTATATTTACCCTATAAACACGTCGCCGTAGTGCGATTAACGATACGTTACACTAACGAGCGTGCTACACGACGGCCATGCTACCAGACGTTAAAAATAAAAAAAAAAAAAAAATAAGAACGGTACTGCACCGTTAGGTATAGCGGTATAGTGTGTTTTTCGTACATTCTTGATAATATGGATATCATATTATTTTTTATTGTTTTTTTTTTTCTCATTCGACTCGTTTAATCATTATTATCGGTATTGAGTACCTATACCGTAACAACACAATGACCGTTTTACAAGCATCGAGGTTTTTTTATTCGCCTATCGATTAACGAGAATAAACGTACTAGAGCCAATTACAATACCTGTAGGCACCAAACCGCAGTATACGTTTTTGTCTTTCTATGTCGGAGCCGAAATCAATAACGTTATGTTTCGGAGGATTACGAAGAGTGGAGTGAAGACTCGTTCCAGTCAAAAACATAACGGAGGGGGGATCTTCGCTGGTCAGCATTGTCAACAGTTATTTTTTTTAAAACTAACAAGCCGCTGATCATTACCTGGCTATCACTTATCAATATAATGCAATGTATTCGTGTTATAAGACTATGTATTAGTAAAAAAATACGGTTTTAACCGTAACAATACAATAATTTATAACGTTACTATAGTCCAGAGAAAAAAAATGAATTCCACAGTATTTTTTAGGCTCTTAAATTGATTTCGAAATCATAATATCGGTTAAAAAAATCATATAGAAACTCAAAAAAAGACCAGCAAACAGATAGCAATTTTACCCGAAATTCACTCTTTGACAAAGCCAGATAAACTTATAAAATAACTAAAAAAGCACCACTGATTCTGGTATTATAAAGAGTCTAGCGTTTGTTTGTAGTTTTTACCCGTCTAAATCAATAAGAACAATTTTACCACACGAATAACGATAATAGTTATTGGCATACCAGTTTAGAGAAACAATGTACTTTTAAAGTTTAATGAAGTTTGGGTTTGGACGAAGCTCATAGAAATCATGAATAATTGTTAATATTATTTTGCGTACCGTGAAAATCAAGACGATTTTTAATTAAATGTTTTCAAAAAGAATGTTTGACCGGGTTCCACGCATAATTGCTTTTTACGTTTTGTAATAGTTAATGAGTATTTGATTTTTTTCGATTTTTTAACGTTGTTTCTATCGACCCGTTTAATCGGTCATAATCCGAAACCGTACAGTCTCAACGTTTGCCATTAAACATTAAGAGCGTAGATGAAATTTCGCCGTGTGCGTTGAAACCGCGGAAATCCAAATCCGCAATAGTGATTGCGGTGCACGGAACATTTATACGTGTATGCGATTTTCGGGCGTCCGCATGACACGCGGTTATACGGCAAGAATAACAGCGCGTCGTGTACGGGAACAATCCGTAGACGGACCGAACGGAAATGATCGATGGCGAATTACTACGCGTGTTTCGCTCCGTATCTGTATCGCCAAAGGTGGAGCCGCCGCGCGCGCCTTTGAGTACGCGGCGCGTTAAACGATAAAAGCCGTACGGGGGGGGGAGGGGCGGAGAAAATAATAAGTAAATAAATAACACGGAACCGACGTTCTCGGCCGTGAAATACGATATGACATCGTACGATAATGCGCAGTATAATACGTCATTGTTGTCCGGCGCGCGGCTACGGCGGGACGGAAACTAATTAAAAACGGTCCGCGGCGGCGCCGGATTGATATTCCGCGGCGGAGATAAGCGCCGCCGCGGGGGACGGGCGATTTTCGTGAACGCCGCGCGGGGCAGTATCGCGCAAAAGAACGTATTTATCGGCGCGGTACGGGTACGGCGGGGCGGGGACGTTGATCGACGGTACGAAACGATTCGGCCGGGTCGCCCGGGTTCGGTGGACGGTAACTCCAATAACAATAACAACGATAATCATAACAATAACAATAATAATGATAATAATATTTCGATATTGTTATTTTATCGGGTCTATTACACGGCGGCGGCGGAGCTTGTACAACGGTTTGCCAGTGTTGTGCGCGCGGGTATTTTTTTTTAGCCCCCCCCCCCTCCTCCTCCTCCGAAACTGCAGGTTAACGGTGGCGGATTACCGGGAGCGTCTGTTTTTCGCGTTTCCCGCGTGTCTGTGTGCCTTAACAATAATAATAACAACAACAACAACAACAACAGCAACAACGACGACGACAATAACGGTTAGGCACCCTCGGCGCCGTTTTGCCGTGAGAGAGACGCGCACACGGGACGACGGCGTTACCGCGTACCGGCGGTCATTGCGCGCGGACGTCCCGGGTAAACGCGTCGCGCGGCGTTCGAAACGATCGGCGCGCGTATGCCGGTCGGGCGACGGGGCGATGGGGCGAACGGCGGTGGGAGGGGGGGACGCGTATTTTTCCGACGGGTCCGCAACGTTCGTGATTCGTTCGCGCGGGCCGGATTTACACGGGACCGCGGCCGCGACGCGCGGCGAACGCGAACGTTCACCCTGTACATATAAGCGTGCGCGCGGTGTACGGCCGGTTTGACGCGAGATTAATAGTCGTGTAGCGGCTGTCGGTGTATCGCGTATACGGGTATAATGTTAGGTAGGTAGGTAGGTAGGTAGGTAGGTAGGTAACTGAAAGCCGTAAACGGGAGCACGCGAAAAATGCGCGACGGCGTCTGATGCGTTTATATTTTCCCCGTTTAAAAGGTACACGGTTTTCCCGGGAGACACTCGGCGTAAATCAAATTTACAACGACGGAAGCAGCAGCCGCCGAGGCTTCGTTCGTCTTTTCTTTTTTTTTTTTTTTTTTTACTTAACCTCTAACGGCTCAACGCCACCGTTTACTTCGGCTTGTTTTTTTTTATATTTTATTTTTTTTTCACACGCACACGCACACACACGGCATAGCGGAAACTCTGTCCCGCGCACACGCCGCCGCCGTCGGAAATTGCATAACGTCGAGTCTGTTTTGAGCGTGTACACAGAATATTGTAATAATACAGTGTGCAGAACTCGCACGGCTTTTAATACGCGATATCATAATATTATCAAAAAGCGCGCGCGTTCGTACGGCGAGTATATTTTTATCGGGACAAAATATGTGCGCACCAATACTCGAAATTCATTGTGGCAAAGTTCCTCCTCCGTCCTTCGTTTTTACCACCGAGGACAAACGTGATCCGGGATAACCGACGGCCTGTAAAACGAAAACCACATTTTGTTGAAACGGTTAAACGGCGACTAGCACTAGTTTCTGCCGTTCTAGATTATAAGTGTATCGAAGATTGTATTGGTTTTACTTAGATTTTTATTTTTATTTTTATATCCTGTGCGGATGAATTCGACCATAAAACTTGTACAGATTTATGCGCGCGGCACTTTTTCTGAAAAGAAATGTTGTCCAGATGGTACTTTTGGAAAGTTATATTTTGATTTTCCAAGCGGTTTTCATAATATTTGGGAAAAAACAGGGTAAAACGTAAGAATAACAGGAAATTTACGAAAATAATTTTTTTATTATTTGTTGTAATTCTGTTAAAAATATTCGCGGAAAGTTGAAATTTGGACAAAAACTTATATTTTTCATTTCGAGATTTGGAAAATTGTTAAAAAATTTTAGCAATTTTTGAGGTATTTATAGACATTTTAATTTTGAGAGTTGTATGCGTAATATTTATTAGGTAAGTACTATGTGGTAAAATTATGAGGCATGAATAGAGATGCTTCAGAATTTAACTGAAGATTATTAAGTGTCTTATTTTGTCGTAAAAAAAAAAAATTAATTTTAATGTAGTATTTTTTTTTATGAAGGAATTTTAATATCAAAAATTAACGAATCTTATGTGATAAAAATCTAATTTTTTTATGTAATTTTTTTTTTTTTTTAACACATGTATATTACTAATTTAAGAACGATGGTGAAGTCAGAATTTAGCGGACTGACAAAGTTTTGAAATTATAGCTTTTTGAATTTCTGTCTTTCTTAAGAAAGCATATTTGTTATGATCTAATGGTTATTAATGCGTATTATAATTCATGGGTTTCCGAGTACAAACCATTGTAAAGTTTGAAAATTGTAAAAATTGTTTGCATTTTTTTTTTCTTTTTATCTAAACAAAGAAAAACAAATGAATTTGGGATCTACAAAGAGACAAAAAACAATCGCTCCCTTAGACTATTTTAGTCGCAAATATCCATCGATTTCTCGTGTAAAACTTTTTACCAGAAATCTTGCTCCGATGTACTAAGTGTAGCATATTTTCTGAAAGAAAACTTTATCTCCTCGATAATTGAGAAATTTCGTTTTTTGATTTTTAAAGTGGTTTTCATACAATCTCAGAGAAACAATGTAGGTATTAGTAAAAAAATATTATGGACTTTTTTCTGTGTACAACTTTTCTACCAACAATTTCGCTCCGATTAAACATAAAAGCACTTTTTCTGAATAGTTATTTGACTGGAAAGATACTTCAAGGAGGTAATTTTTGATTTTTCCAGTAGTTTTTTTTCTAATAAATGGAAAAAACCATGTGAAAATAGGTACAAATATTAAAAAAATATTCTTCAAGAAAATGTATAATGCCTATTTAATTATTTAACCGTAATATGGCACATATATTGTTCGAAAATCATCATTAAAAAGTGAACTGCATTCAGAATCGTGTTTTTATTGGGAACAGTTTATCGTTACTTACAAATATATATTTAATTACTTATAAGACTGGCTACATCCGTCTACATTATTCTATTATATGTATAGATGATATTCAGATCAAACGACACAGGAGTATTGTTCATAAAAAAACTATCAACGTATCAAAATGTGACTTATGATGATTTTTATTTTTTATTATCATGTATATTTTTGTCGTTTAGAAATTCAAAAACTTTTAAGTGTTTTATATATTATATTATAAGCTATTTAGTCTATTTCTTAGTATACGTTTCTCAAATACACACATAAAGCCATTTTCGGTTACATAGCCCGCCATAGGATTCACGTAAGAGTAGGAACTGTGATCTAGCATCATTCTAAAGTCTATAAACACCTAATAAAATAGGTTGAATCCGACCAATTCTGTGCTTAAATTATTTTGAAGTTGACGAGGATGCGGCTTCACCGAGATTATTATCTACGTAATGTTGTTGTTATGCATACCGATTAGCTATACCGGTCAAATATTGTCTTTCCATTACTCGAACAAATTTTGAAGGCCATCGTTCCGGACGCGAGAGTTGAGAAACGGGCATTATCATAATAAAAACAGAAGTGCATGGTCTGTAATAGGTTTGTGTGCAGCTCGCAGCCGAATTACTAAAATTAAGCCCCATGAATGGTAATTTATAAGTGGTTTTTGGTATTTTCGGAACAAAAGTCTACGGAATTTCCTTAGCAATATAACTGGTATAATAAATAATAGTGAAAACCGTTCGTCGAAAGCACTCCGTGCGTATGTGCGACAAAGAATAAAAGTGTGACACCGTAAATACGGACGAATTAGCAAAATATACTTTTGAGTTATGAGTACACAAGACCGTACAATGAGTTTGAGAGAACAAAAAAAAAAAGTAATATTCAAATGACGCTAAACGAAATTGATGAGCAAGGCAATATTTATCCGTGAGACGGTGAATTTTTATTAAAAAAAGTATATTACTGCATTTAAGTCCCGACCCTCAAAATTACAATTGAACCAACCGATTACATCTGCGGAAGGGATCGCTTACAAATATCAATTTCAAAATAATTAAAACTCGATTTTAAATATCAGATGGGAATAAGGAGCGAGACGTGCAGCTTTTCGTAATTCAGTATGCACACAATTTAAGATTATTCTGTGCGACGTGATAATACGCCACGGAAAGTAATTTATTACATTTCGTTGGCCGTATTATATATACATATATTTTATTTTATTTTTTATATTAAAATGTGACGTTTGCAGCTACTCAGTTACTGCAGTACACGTGTACGAATATTTCTCTATGTATTTCATAATTAAGTATAACAATTTCGTTTGTGCGCATTTTTTTTTTTTTTGATTTCTTCTTTAATATTGAGTTGATATATTTTATTTTAGATTCAAAACGTAGCGAGAAATGTATTGGTTTTACAATAATGTTTATTTTTTTTTTTATCTGTCAACAAATCTTCTACCTGGAATTTTGCTCCGATTTGCAAGTATATATCAAGTATAGTATCTTTTTCGAAATTAAATTTTATCCGAGTGGTACTTTAGGAAACTCATTTTTTTTTTCTATTTTTCCAAACGGTTCTTATAATAATTAGGAAAAACCACCAAAAACGTAAGGTAAATTTACATAAGTGTACAAAAGAAACTTTCCTCCGAATCGTTTTTCGTTTGCAACGGTTTATCGTTGTGTACAAATATAAATCAAATTTCCAACTTCTTACTTATAACTACAGTGACCCATCCATTGTTAGAAGTATGTTCATCTTATTATACTGTGGATTTTAAATACGAATTAATTATTAAATTATGCACACCTATTTTGGTGGGTATGACGCGTCGTATAAATGTTATGAAAAAGATTTTATAATTTTTTGAAAAACCCTTCAAGATAAAACCCGTAGTATAAAATAAGTTTTCTCGTTTGCCATAATAGTATTAATATGATTTCTGTGTAATAATACCAATGATGCTATCTGATTAATCTTAATGCACACGGGTAACATGTTTTCGGTGTGATCCGAATCCGACAGTGTTATAATCCTGTTCGTATTATCATATAAGTTTTCATGTATGTACGGTAAGTATACATTATTGCATCTTGTGTGAACTTGGACGCAATCTTCTGTAAATACAGGTCCATTTTCCTAGCACTCCCGCATTCGAATTTTTAAATCAAATCAAGAGTATTTTTTATTTTTTTTTCGTGCTTCGTTTGTGATAATGTGTGCCGAAAGAACAGATCTGTATACTTGCGAACTTTTCGAAATACAGACGTTTACTTTGAGGTTACTGAGATAATAGTCATTTCCCCTTTCGACATTTATAATAATTATCATAAGTCCGTATTTCGTTTATGCATAATTTATGCCTACATTATTGTAAGCCTATTAAAGTGCGTTGGACAATTTTATGTTAAGTATCTTCTCCTCGTCAAATTCTAGCAGTTGAAATATTTAAATTAATAATATTCAAATATAAGTGCAACATTATTATGTATATTTGTTTTATAATTAATTCGGAATTATTTCAGTCATTTTTTATTTTTTATCTTTTAAAAATTATAATATCTTAATATATAATTATATATTGTGCGTATATATAAAACAGATATTCTATTTATGAGTAACATGATTTGTTTAATAAGGCCTTTAATTTATAATTATTTTTTATTAGTTAACATTTATAATAAACAATTCGTCAGGAATATCCCTCACTACTTCAACAAAAAGTTGACTTGTTTTAACGCTTCATACTCAAGCACGAATCTCGTGACAATATAAAAATGTCTACTACTGTCTAGCTACGCAGTTCGATTTCCAACATGAAAATGTTTTTTTAATAACTCTGGATTACATTTTTATTTATATTTCATATCTATTTCATTTCCTCCGTTAACTATATTCATGAGTTTATATTGAATTGTACATACGAATTCACCATACGCAATTGTATTATTTGCATAACAAGTAGGAAATACATTTCGTTTTTAATTTAAAGATATTGCTCGTTTTTGTGAAAAAACCCTTTTTCATCAAATAATAATTTATCAATGACATATTATACGATAAATTATATTTAAACAGAATCAAAAAGAGTAATTCATTTTTTTTTTATAAAAACATTCAAATAATTTACATATTATATGCCATTGTAATAATCATGTTATAAATTATAATAAAATTGGTGAAAAACATTGGAAATCATAATTAAATATAGAGTGATTTCAAAAGAACTAGTTCGCGGTTTTTAGTGTGTATACCTCTGTAACTGTTGTTTGTAACTAACGATCCGCACGGAAATATCTACACTAAATGAACGGTTACACGGACTACACAAAAATTGTTACCCATCTGTAGGATGTCAGTATATATCAAATGAATACAGTTGTTAAAATGCAAATGACGCACAATGATTGAAAAAACTCCGAAAAGAGTATTGAAAAAAAATATACACGATATAACCCTACTTGAATATTATTGAAAATGCGTTTTAAATTTTAACTGCGTTGCGGTGGATCCGATAAAGAGAAGATAGTTAAAACGAAAATATTGATAATATTACATTAATTATATTAAATAAATATAAATTAAAAGGAGATACAAATAAAAATACTCTCCCCCCCCAAAAAAAAAAAAAATTCCCTTATCTCAAAATCATCGAAAAAACAAATGTTGATACATATCGGTACGAAAAAGGATCCTATAGTTTAGTTTCAAAACAGTTACCAGGAAAGTGGTCCTAATATAATGTAGTACGTTAATAAGGTAAATATAATTATATTTTTAAACTACTAAATATTGAAACCATTTAAAACTAACTTTTAAATAATATAATATTTCGTACCAAAGTATATTATAAGACTGTACGTTAAATAAATTATTTCACGAAACTTCGGCGTACACATTTTTTTCAAAACTAAAAGTAAACTATATAGTTTCAAGATTAAATGTATATGCATATATCTTGTTATTCGACGTATTTACATCAGCGGTGGTGTAGTGAATCACCATTTATATACGGAGATGTTCACGAACGAACAATAAAAAAAAAAAAAGGATCACCGTAGAGATGTTAAACGACGCGTATAGAGAACGGTGCTCGAGTTTATTCGAATGACTTATATAATATTCGAATCGACTACCATTAAAATCATCATAAAAAAAAAATACTTGATACCATACTAACGGGTGTTCCACTGTTGTAAGTGGGAATGTAGAAGGAGGAAATATTGTAGAGTAACTTAATTTATATCTGTACTCATTGATAAACCAAAGCTTACGAAAAACGCTTCTAATCAGTGTATTATTCGTCGTATTCACGTCTTGTTACCGAGAAATCAACAAAAAATACAAAAAAAAAAATAACGCCAGCTATTCCCGTTTACAGAGAAAACAATGAAAAACAAAAAAAAAAAAAAAAAAAAAAACATCCCCAATAATACGCCAACTAGATTAGAAATACTACAAGAAATTGCTCATAGAGTTTTAGATTGTAGCAGGAGTTCCGGCAGAAAATTTGTTTTCCACACCAAAGCCCAAAAATCCAATAAGTGCATTCTTCGTTTCACTACCCGAATCAAAAAATAGAAATCAAGAAATGAAAAAGACTTTCGTACTGCGATAAATGTTCGAATTATCGCTGCGAACAATTGACGTTACGTCACAGTATGGGTCGGTGTAGGAGACCTGGCAATTAACACACACACACACGAGTTAAAAACGTTTGTTCGAGCGAAACGTTTCGCGTGCGCGGCGAGTGGCAATAACATGTAATTGTTCGGTCGTCAAAACGGTTAATTAGGCGTATTAACCGTCATAACCTGTGCCGGCCGTTATATTATCGTTCGAACGTATCGTCACCGTGTTGTACACAAACGGCGGTCGTCGGTTCTACGGGCAATATACTCGCGTCGAAACGCGATCAAAATCGCGACGGTTACCCGTGTTTTCACTTGCTGTCGGCTTTCGGCGTCGCGTAATAAACGGGACAATTATTATCACGCTAAACAATACCGCGGTTGTTATTGATAACGTTTCGATGCACTTATGACGTCGCGTGCCGCCAGACTGTAAACACTCGTATTAATATTCTTCCGGTAGGCACGACCGCATTAAACAATCCACGCGAACGGTGTAGACCCGCGGACAGTACCGTTGAGCACAAACAGACTGTCATCGGATTGTCGTTGGGCGTACCTGCCTGCCTACCCACCTACCCGCTATACAATAGGTACGTTTACGTTAATTTATGTGATTTATCCCGTTGCGAACGCCAATAACGCCCTCCCCCACCCCCTCGAAAAATATCCGTCGCGTCGTCTGAAATTACAATATTAATGATACTCGATCGATTTCCCGAACTAATTAAACCTAACGCTTTGTACCTACGATTTGAATGCGTTAGCCGAACTACCTACCACCATACTATACAGTATGCGATATAGGCTATATACGTACCTATACGCCGATGTCACTCGTCAATTTCGATTTCTGCGTAACACAGCAACTAAATCCATAATCTATAATAATACGTATCGTCGCAGACGTAATTCGAGTATCTCAACATTATCGTGTTAATATTATCAACACGGGGTCGTACTCGTATCGGGTAAACCGATTATTGTTTG